TCTCTCTCTCTCTCTCTCTCTCTCTCTCTCTCTCATATGGAGTCATATATAGGCATTAAAAGAAAGTCATATAGTGTTATGGGGTCATACAAGGATCGCATGGGCTCAAATGAGTCATATGGGGGTCATACGGGATTATATGGAGTGATATGCAGTCATGTAGGCTTATATAGGGCCATGTGGGGCCACAAGCCACATACATGTCACATGGAGCCAGATGGGGTCATATGGGGGTTCTATGGGCTCATCAAAGGGTAATATAGGGATCATAAGAGAGTCATATGTCACTATTCAAAACAATAAAAAATAAGCGTAGTAAATTTCAAAAATCGAGAATCCATTCGGTAGTATATTGCTAATTTGTTAGCAACGTAAACTATACCCATATACAAAAAAAGGGATTATCCGCTTGTTTGCATTCATCTGTATAGTAATCGATATGATAATCAGATAAATATGTATGACAGCACGCAACGTACATTTAAACCTACTGCCCATCGCGCGTGTTTGATTGAGTTGTGCACGTCGAAAAGGGGCGGGTCTCGGAGCCTCATGTTAGTGTTGAGCGTCATTTGAGGTTAAAACACTTCAGGATTTTTTTACGTAGCAATTATTTATCCGAGATCATCATTTTTTAGTGCAAGTTTGTAGAGGCATTCTCTCTCTACAAGTTGATATTTTTTTTCGTCGATTGAATGAGTTAAAATTACACAGTTGAAGTTCTTGGCGTTACGCCACATAAAGTCGATAGTTTTTGATTGATTTGAATACCTGCCGGTTGAAACTATGTTTAAACATTTTGATATGTTATTCAGGACATTTTTACGGATTGATTGGTACTTTTTCATTGCCAGCTGAATTTTTTAGACCATATCATACTTTCATCAGCCAGATTGACTGGACTATAATATCAAAGGTTGGGATTTTGGATGGGCGCATTCGACCAAGCGGTTCCTGACATATTCAACTTATTGCGTAAATATGTTTTATCAAATATCTTAGTAACTACTCGATAGATGTGAATTTTTCTGTTTTCAACATATTCGCCTTGACGGCCTCGCCAGATCAATCAAAATATCTATACCCGTTTATCCAACATTTTGAGATATTGCCATTTTTTCAAAATTAAGAGAGCAAGTTAAAATTCGATACGATTATAACTTATAATATCGAAGGTTGCTATTTTTACCTTTAGCCTCTCGGAGAACAACTTTTTCATGCTCTCTCTCCTGTCTCGCAGTGGCTAATCTTACTCCAAGTGCACCAGTAACCAAACGCCGGGCCAAAGCAGCACACGTCTCAGGTCTGCTTCTGTACGGCTGCATAAATTCAGCACTCCTCCTCGCCTTGGTCTTACTGAGTGCAGACGCTTCATTGAGTGGGCGTGTCTTTACGAACGGATGATCTGACGCTAGTACTTCAGCAGCTGTAATTAAATCACCGTTTCAACTTCCTTGTTGAGAAAACAAACTTGTTATCATTTCTCTCTGTCAACTATTACCACGTTCCACTAAACTAGTTGACTATTAGGTGTGTGACTTAATTTTTACAGATTTTCCCGTAAATTCGTTTAATATAAAAAAATGAGGACAACGGACTCAATTTTGGAAATATTGTCCATCGTTTTCTATGATCATGCACCGACTCTCAGGTAACATTCGAATGCCGTCGCGAAAGAAACTTGCAGGCTTCGAGGCGATAAAGTCATCGACGAATTTAAGCACATCGTCTAGCGTTTTAAACTGTTTATCCACTAAGGCGTACTGTATGCACCGGAACAAGTGATAGCCGGATGGGGCCAAGTCTGGTGAATATGCCGCGTGCGGGAGAACTTCCCATCCCCAGTTTAAGAGGGTCTTCTGAGTCGCACGAGCACCGTGAGGTCGAGCATTGTCAAGCAGCAGTATGACTTGCCTGCTTCCTCGCCCAGTAAATGGCCTTTTCCGATCAAGTTCTTCGCGCAGTTTGTTCAGTTGTTGACTGTAGCGTTCCGCAGTTACCGTCTGACTTATTTCCAGGAGTTCGTAATAAAGCACACCCTTCATGTCCCACCAGATACACAGGAAAAGTTTCTTTAAGTGGATGTTCTGTTTCGGCGTCGATGTACTGGATTGTCCGGGATCTACCACGACTTTTTACGTTTGGAATTCTCGTAAAAAATATACTTTTCATCACCCGTAACAATTCTCCACAAGAAGTCCTTTTTTTGTTGCCGGGCAAGCAGTGAAAGGCACGTGTGCATACGTTGACCTAGGTTGTGTTTGGTCAACACATGTGGGACCCACCTTCCAAGTTTTTGGATTTTTCCCATTTGACGCAAACGCTTAGAAATAGCTGTTCGGGTGACTCCTAACTGAGCTGCAAGCTCTTGTTGCGTTTGCGTTGAGTCTTCATCCAGCAGAGCTTGCAATTCCGCATCTGTAAACTTCCGAGGCTGTCCAGAACGCGGCTGGTCACTCAGATCGAAATCACCACTTCTAAAACGTAAAACCAATAATTACACGTTTCATAAGATACAACGTCGGCACCAGAAACACTACACATTGATTCCCATGCTTCAGAAGCATTTTTTTCTTGTTGGAATTCGTATACAATGCAGTGCCGAATGTGGTTTATCAGTTGCCGTCGTAAACTCTGCTATTCTGAAAGGTTATATAACTTACATAGACTTGTTGTTCCCTGTTCTGAAACCTTTTGTCCGATCCTTTAAAAACAGAAAAGACCGCGAATATATTTCTATTTTAAATATAATTTTAAGCGCGAAGAAAAAATCTGTAAAAATTAAGTCACACATCTAATATTATATGAATATGCCGACGTAATATGCTGATGAGTTGGGTAATGTCTTTTACATACTAGAAAGTGAAATAAGATTGTATTCTCCATTTCCGCTTCATTGAGAATGAACTTTATAGCAAAGCTGAGGACCGATTCCTGTGAAAATTGAAATTAGTGTTGGTTCTTCAAATTTCGTGTTTTCATCTAGACCCCCTCCATCCCCCTTCCATCTACTTCAAAATCTTATCTAACATTCTGTGGTGTCACAAGATTTGCAGCGCTATATAAAGTCCCGTCTGTAATAGTCCAGGCGTCAGAGTATTAAATTTGATGAATGAACGTAATAATTCCCTGCAAAGGTTTTAATACGTACATTGCTCCGTTTTGGCATAAGTAATAACATACTAAAAAATAATTGTCGATTTGGATCGGCAAGTTATTGTTTAAACAATCAAAAGTGGCGATTTTTTGGTTTTTCACGGTTTTCACGGCAACTATGGGTGCTACGATAAAAAAAGTTATGTACAAAATTAATCCCCATAAAATTATCTAAAAAAATCGTCCTTTGCCTTCTTTTGTCCGATCAATCGTGTTTAGGATAAACTCGCGAAACTGGTCAAACTGTGCTACATCGCGCTTATTTTCACCAACCATACGCCCCCACGCCTATTTTCAATGTGATAATTTCTTTATTATTGTAAACAGCACTTACGAATAAGATTTTTTAATACAAAAAGTAATAAATGATGCAATTGTTAATAAAAAAAATGTTGATAATGAAATTAGTCAAAATAACGGATATGAACTGACTCATGAGAATCTAAGAGGAGGTGGACAAAATAATGATAACGCAGTGGCATCACAAAATAATTATAAGTTGGTTTATTCATTACAAATAGGCTTTGTAAATTTTGAAAAGTGTCAATAAACTCTTCGTTTTTTTCTGAGCTGGAGAGCGCAAATCACCGATATCCTCCACTGATTCAGATTCGCTGCCTGATTCCTCACTGACTTGAACGTCCAAGAATTTCTCAACATCTATGTCAATTAATTCGTCTACGTCGTCATCAATGTCAATGTCGACATTTATATTGAAGCAATTCGTCCCCTGGCACCCAGTACACAAAATTGAGCAATACAGGCCTATTCTTCTGCAGCCACTGTTACCAGTGCATCCTTTGAAACATTTACATGAAATTGTCTTCAGTAGTTCCTGAGGAGCTGCGGCGTTTGTAGTGGGGATGGGTAATAGTCCGTTGGTTGCTTGTTTCCACCCCCAATCAATGGGATTGAGATGATTTCCTGACCAGGCTTGAATCTGGTGATAAACTCGTAAGCTGTTGCCTGGCTGCTTCCCGAGTTGGAGGCAATGACGAGATATTACACCTGAGTTTATACCTGCACCCCCCCTCACTCCACTTTCTGTCCTTTTATCCCATTTTTAGTGCAGCTGGCAAGGCAGCAGGGGTAATAACGTTGGAAGAAACTAATACGATCGATAGCGCAGGTAGTAGGTACGTTAAAGCGTGGACGCGTCCAACCACGCAGTTGACGTTTGTCTTTCGCGGCTGTATCTTAAAACCGATTGATCGGATAAAAAAAGTCGAGGAACATTTTTTTTAGATAATTTTATGGGGATTAATTTTGTATTTAACTGTTTTATCGCAGAACGTATAGTTTCTGTGGAAACCGTGAAAAACCAAAAAATTCCAAATTCTGATTGTTTAAACAATAACTTGCCGATCGAAATCGACAGTTATTTTTTAGGACATTATTCATGTCAAAACCAAGCGATTAAAGCATTAAAACCTTTTCTGGGATTTTGCAGTGTTATAAAACCCCTGACGCCTGGACTATAGTGAAAAACGATTGCCGTACGCAGGAGGGCGGAGCTCGACATGTACAAGAAATTAAAATGCAGAAGTGGCAAGGACCCGGATAACTCAGTTACGAGAGCATCCGATGCGAAATCGGCTGGTCCTGGGTTCCAATCTCGGTCTGGACCACGCATTTTGTCAGTAGATTTCTCTTTTTTCCAAACTAAAATCGAAAATGATTGAGATTCTACTCCTACCTACTGCAAAATTCTATTTTCAGTGAAGGACAGATTCATGCATGTACGTTGAAACACCGTTGAAAAATCATGGGTTCTTATGGTTAGGATGACAAAAGTGGGAATAATTTAGTTTATATTTTTTTTTCGTGTCACCCCTGGCGATTTAGGGCCACGATACAACCACGGAGAAGCGTGGCTGTGCATTTTCGGATAAAAAAGGCGAAAATAACTGAAATCCAATTTTAAAATTGAGTAAATATTAAAAGCTGAACTATTTGGACCAATTTGAGCCCATTAGTTTGTTAATTTTAACAATTAGACTGAATGATTGATGTGATATATAGCAATAAAAGTCCGAATTAGGAAATTCCGTGAGATGGCGAAACGGTTGCATTACCAACTCGGTCGGTCAAGTCAGTCGCAGGCGGAGATCACGGGGGGATGTTGCCGCGTATTGTTAAATTTGATTCCAGCGGAAAAAAATTGATAAGAAAATGAAAAATGCGTGTTTTCATCGAATCGTTATTTAAAATAATAATCTTTTCATTAATTTTATTAGTTTTATTGCTTATTTACTTGAAAATTCAAATAATTTAAAGACAATTGGATAATTTACGATTATTCAAGGTTTAATAATAGGGGTTGGAGCAGAGGGCTAAGGGTTGAATAAAAGCCGTAAGAATTATTAAATGATGTCCGATCATTTAAGACGTCATGGGGGGGGGGG